ATCAACCCCGAGATCACAGCTTTTTGTTGGACTTGCTCCTGGCCGGTGACCGCTGTATCCTCAACCCCAACGGCCGGAGATCCGCCGCCCAGCTGTCGGTATGCAACAGCGCCAGCCAACAATAGCGCTAGGGCGCTAGCGGAGGCGCTGCCGACCACCACTGCTGTATGGTTCCCGGGAGGGGACACTGAGTCCCGGGAGGGGACTCACTGTCTGTCGTGGCATTGGTATCTCTCGTGACTTGGGTTGTGGTTGCTGTTCGCTTGGTAGTGGTTTTCGACTCCGTGAGAGTGGGGATGGTCGACTCCGAAGAGGTGCCGGTCGTACCAGGCAGGTCCTGCGGTAGTCGTTGTCTTGAGTAGGCAGTTGAGGTGGTTGATCGCATTGGCAATCCAATACTTCGGCAACACCACCTTGTGACCCACAGCCTCACAGGCACTCCCAGACACTCATACCCAACCGCAAGAGTCAATATCGTCGCCACACGAACCAACCTCAAACTGGGGCGCAAACACATTCCCTGCATCGCAGTACCACCCTCCACCAATGATTAAGACGCTGGTTATTGCCTGGCGTGCGAGTAATTACCATCGCCAGAATTACCACCCTCGCTCGACCAATGAGGGCAGTATTACCATCGCACGCCAGGCAATAACCAGCGTAGATCTCGAACAGGGTTCATACTGAAACGACACTCTTGGTTATACCACAACGGATATATAACATTTGTATGCAATGATGTCGGGCGCAAATTGTATTGAGGTGTTAGTGGAGGCCATAATGTCCGAATTGCATTATTCAAACAGCAGCAATTCGATTGGTCAGCGAAAAACAAACCTAGGCAAACTGTTGTTCGTCGACACCAACAACCGTCTCTCGCTGCATGTCCTCGTCGTAGCCAGCCCCTACCTCCTCCTCCCCAACATCAAGTTCGGCAGGTCCGCCGCGCATCTGTCGGAATGCACCAGCACCGCCCAACAAGAGAGCCAGGGCGCCAGCGGAGGCGCTACCCACCACCACCGCCGTGTTGTTCTTAGCGGGTGCTGATGTGGTGGCAGTGATTGTGGTGGCAGTGGTCTTGGGCCTCGTCGTGCCTCGGGTGGTTGTAGTAGTCGCCGCCGGCGTAGTGCTAGTGGCTGTCGTGGTAGTGGTAGTGGGTGTCGTGGTAGTGGTGGTGGGTGTAGCGGTCGTAGTCGTGGTCGTCGGAGTAGTGGTAGTGGTCGTTGGGGTAGTGGTAGTGGTCGTTGGGGTAGTGGTAGTGGTGGTTGGGGTAGTGGTAGTGGTCGTCGGAGTAGTAGTAGTGGTCGTCGTCGGAGTAGTAGTAGTGGTCGTCGTCGGAGTAGTTGTAGTGGTCGTCGGAGTAGTTGTAGTGGTCGTCGGAGTGGTGGTAGTGGTCGTCGGAGTAGTAGTAGTGGTCGTCGGAGTAGTAGTAGTAGTGGTCGTCGGAGTAGTTGTAGTGGTCGTCGGAGTAGTTGTAGTGGTCGTCGGAGTAGTTGTAGTGGTCGTCGGAGTAGTGGTAGTGGTCGTCGTGGTTTCGGGTTCTGCCGTTGTTGTGGTTTCCAACGCGCAGTTCATGTCGTTGACAATGCCCACAATTGAATCGGACAGTTCGTCCGCGCGCCAGCCTGTTGAGCGGATTGTGGCCTCGAGTCCGTATTGGTTGAAAAAGTCTCTCCACCAATCGCACACTTCCCCCATTCGGCATATTACTCCCATGTGG